TCTTGGATGTTAATAAAGTTGCTGCACCTCAACCCTGCTGTACAATCATTAAGTGGGTAATTAGCTAAAAAAAAAAAACAGCCTGTAAAAGTGTCTGCTTCTGCTCTGAAGTTGTAAATTGTAACATGGGTGTCAAAGAACACTAACTTGTTTTGGAGCCAGTATTAAGCACCCATTCAAATTCAACAAACTGCCCAATAACAATAGAAGTTAGAACTGGAAGACCTTGTCTATTAGCTAATGCTGGCAAGCTTGGTTTGCTTGTTACATATACTCTAGGGGGACTACACACCGACACATCTTAATTAGTGCACAATTAGCAGAAGGTACAGTAACAGAACAAACAAAAATTCCCACTTGACAAACATCAGTGCTCTCTTGACTTTTATTCTACCACCAACAGCTATTTGTCATTGCATTTTTTGCATGACAAAATATATATGACCCAGTAGATAATCCTCAGACTTATTTGAGGGAATGTCTCATTAATTAATAATTTCTCATACCGACCATAAGGTCCCACTCAGAAGGAATTTTAATAACCTAATCCTTTGATGTTTCCTGTAGCACCATCATCATCATCATCAAAAACTGGAAATTTTAATGGGTCTAGTTTATCATCAAATGCCTGCTACTAACAGAAGCATTTGTGTTTAGGGCTACTTTTATTTTTATATGAGCATAAGGTCAAAGCAGTGCTGCATCTGCACACAGTCTCATCACTGTTAGAGTTAAGAAATAAGAGTTTCTTAGTAATCAATTCACCTAGACGTTAGGGCAGCAGGGTTGATAAAGAATCCCTCCAGGGATACCAATCACTTTTGGGACACCCACATCAATCAACAAGCTTTGACATCAAAGCCGTGCTTACATGTTCGTTCAGCTAAAACCCAAAGCTTCAATCAGGGTAATGACATTAGTCCTATAGAAGGGTTCACCCACATCTATTAAAGCACCCCTTCTGACACACCAGCATCACAACATAATCCTATTTTCTTCCGCAGATGCTGCACAATAAGCACGTGATGGTGCGAGTCGGTGGAGGCTGGGAGACCTTTGAGAGCTACCTGCTGAAACATGACCCATGCCGCATGCTCCAGATTTCCAGGGTGGAGGGCAAGATATCCCCTATAAGCAGCAAGTCCCCTAATATCAAGGACCTCAGCCCTGACAGCTACCTGGTGGTGGCAGCGCACTACCGCAGCAAAAAGTGAAGACACGAGACTGAAAAAAATTCCATTAATAAAAGGACAGATTGACTTCGTGCTGTTTTTTACTGTGTAGAGAAGGGGGCGTAGCTATGCAACATATCCCTGTTCTCATGAAGTAAATATTAAAGCTGTAGTGCAACACCATTCACAGAAAGCACATTTTTCTCATAGTGATGATTTTGTTTTGTTGGTTAAAGGTCATTCTTGGGTGTTTTCATTTGATTGAGCCTGGACACATGTTAGTAGGCCTCTGGGTGTTATTTACTTTTACATAACAGCAAACAGCTTTGAAAAACATGCTCATTATTATCGTAACAGTATAATTGGTTTCATAATTAGTGCAAGGGAAGGTGTAGATTTTCTTGAGATTTGAGATTTTCCTGTTTTTATTGCATCTGAAGCAATATCACATATGGTAGGTAGAACACTTTCATCTTTTAGCTCCTCATATAAATATCTGTATTTGTACAAGGTAAAAACACAAGTTGTTTTTTTACATGAAATGAAATGGGTGCTGGAGATGTCGGCAATTTTATGAAGCCAGTATTCCTTGGTACCTTGATGTGGATTCTATTGATTTGTCTGTGCTAGTGTTGTTTTCCCACTTTTTTTCATTTCCCATCAAACTGATCTTCTTATCTAATTTTTTAATAATACACAGACCCTATCGGGCTGTGGCTCAAATGGGATTTTATCTCCCACATTAGAAGAATTATTTAAACCCAATGAAGTTTAAATGCTTTACTTTATACATTTAAATTCTTGTAAAAACTCTCATAAAACCTAAATTTATTCACAAAATGTTATAGCTTTTTCTTTGTGCATTTCTTAGTAGGCTAAAAAAGATAAAGCAATGCTCATATTGTTTACATTTTGCATAACTGTTCTATGCAGTACATTTATATATTAGCATTTTGATTGTATTATGCATTACTAGAATAGATCCTGTGTGTAATAATGTCTTCATCCGACAATCATATGTTCGAATCAGTTTCACTAGCTTGTGATTTATAAATAGATTTACTCATTTAAGGTCTCACGTTCTTCACTGTGTCGTATTACTGACCCCTACAGGTGGTGCAGTGATTTAAATACGATTATTATTGATTACTTTTGGGGGGTTCTTACAATGGAGAAATATCAATCACTGCATAATAACTCATGTTATATTAATTTGCTTTTATTCCTGGAGAATAAATATGTCGGTTTGGTATTATATTCACTGGTTGTGGAAAGCAACTTTCAAGCCAGATTTTAGTTGTACATTTCCAATAAATGCTGAAAAGTTGAAACTTCTCATTTTGATATTTGCACGTTGTATTTTAAATTGTTAATGAAATACTAGTTTGCTTATCACTTTAAGAGTAGGCTGCTTTTTTTGGGGGGGCGGGTTCCATATGTATAAAAACAAAATGTACGTACGTCTTTATCTGATCATCCTACAGTTACGTCCAAAAGACCCGAGCCGCCCGTCATGTGCACAGATTCGGTGAAATGTGCAAAAATAAGTGGAAATAGAGTCCACCAGGTAAAAACAGAGTTCATGCTGTTCTAATGAGACGAGGTTTTGGTTTTGTTCATTAATACTGTTTCTTTTATTTTGTGGACATCGTGTCCGGTAGGAACTAGAACTGATGTTACAGGCAGTTTGTGTGTCAGCCAAGAACACTGTGTGATTTTCAGTCCCCTCAGTAATTCATCTCCGGTTAATACTGCATTAAAATCTGGCGTTAATAAGAGGTTGCTGAAGGGCATGCCTTTTTAAAAAAAAAAGAAATGTTACTGTTAAGTCTGGAGAGATACAGAAACATGTTGCTGTTTGCACATATGTTATAATGAGGTCTGCACAGAAGCTGAAGAAGAGTCCAGGATAATATTCATAATAAAAACACAGCAACGATGATGTTGGTTTGTGACTTTGCTTATGTCTGAACATACTTATTTCAGTATACTCTGGGAGACAGAGCTAATGTTTCAATACGACACTGACCTGTAACGTTCAGGATATTTTACTGTAGTTAGACGAAAAGAAAATTGTGAAAATATGTCTCCTTCGAGCCGGATTTGAACCAGCGACCTAAGGATTTCAGCTGTGACGTCTACAGTCCTCCGCTCTACCAACTGAGCTATCGAAGGGACGCTGACAGTTAGCGTATCCATGTGTGTGGATAAGCTAACGAACACACCGGAACAATACTTCTGCGTCAGCCTACGTCATTAGTTACGCCTTAAGGCAGCGAGATTGTGAAGCGCGTGCGGTTCGGGTAGATGACGTATGTGATATTCGAAGCCACGTGAGCCGGTGTTGTGGCAAAACGTGATAATCTGTTTAAATAAAAAAAATCATTTAAAAAGTCTTTTTCAAGAGCGATCAGACCAGGAGTGCAGGATAAACTGCAACATCTATAACACAAGTTATATATTTTTAAGCGTCCAAACGGACCCGGATTGATTACAAAGTAGAAGACAGTCGTAATTACACTTAGAAAACAGGTTATTTCTTTATTTGTATAACCAGTTTTAATCCTGCTGTCTGCAGACTATTTATCAAAAGGATATTAGACACCCGTGGTGTGTCAAAAAGTAATCATCTGACCAAAAGTGATTTCCGGTATTTGCCAAAAAGTGATTATCCGTATTTAAACAGCTGTAAATGATTTGTTGGCCAATAATATGTGAAACAATGTCAAATGCATCCCTCATGAATGATATCAAGTCATTTGGAGCCACAAACAACATTCCTGTGACAAAGTAGAAGATACTATCAGTCTATTTAGCAACACAAGCAAAGATACATTTAAAAAAAAGAGGCACAGACAACATTAAACAAAATCCTTAAATATAAAGAAATTGGGGGTGGCTCAAGACTTTGCACATCTCTGGCTACACCTGAACGACTCTAGACACATCACAAACTGTAAATATTAATATTTGCTTATATTTTTGTCAACTATATTAACAGTGAAACTCTACCACTAAGTATTACCTCTAAAACTGTGATTCTACGCATGAAATTGACACAAGGGTAGCAGAAATGTGATTTATTGTAGCAAATAACATTGGCTAGATTTCTTCTACAAAATGACAAGAGCACCAGAAGCATTTAAGGAAGGCTGTAAGAAACGCACTCAGCCAAGTAAGTCAAAGAAAATATCTTAAAACATCCGTTTTCTCCTTCATATTCCTTCAGTCTCGTTTCCATTGTAGTGGACTTGAACCTTCGAACGAAAGTGAGCATATTGGCTGATGGTGTGCAAATAAGTGTGTAACAAAAGCTTCAGTTGTAGTATGGCAATTCACAAACATTTCTCATTTAGATTAAGCAGCCATTCCATCCGTGTTTGCATACACTACAATTCAATGCAACAAACTCAAAAACTGTGCGTGATAAACAAAGTAATTTAAAAAAGGGCTCTATTAAAGTAGGGCAAAGACTAGTGCGAAGAACTAGGGCATTCTTATTGGCTGGAGAGTGCTCTACAGTTGCTCTACATCAGGGGTGTCGAACTCCAGGCCTCGAGGGCTGGTGTCCTGCAGGTTTTGGATCTCACCCTGGGTCAACACACCTGAATCAAATGATTAGTTCATTACCAGGCCTCTGGAGAACTTCAAGACATGTTGAGGAGGTCATTTAGCCATTTAAATCAGCTGTGTTGGATCAAGGACACATCTAAAACCTGCAGGACACCGGCCCTTGATGCCTGGAGTTCGACACCTGTGCTCTACATTATTCAGCAGTATTTATTAGCTGCTGCAGTTTTTGTCAAGTATAAAGTTTGTGCTTACCAAGGAATCGCCGCATTAGATGCGCCACATAGAGTTCACCTACATTCTCAGCACAAAACACCCATTTTTCCCCCCAATACAAACACACAAAATAATGACCCCAATGTGGTCTGTGTCACTGACTCGCCTCGGTGATGAGCAAGGAGCCCATTATGAGTTGGGTAAAGATAGTCAAGTTTGCACTGTTTGCACTAGTCTTTGAGTTGCCAAAATAACAGAGCCCATCACAAAGTGAGTTCATGCTAAAAAGGTATATCCAACTGTTAATGGATATACGTGGAATACTCTGACTAGGAAAACCAAACACACTGAGGGAAGCTCTGTATTAATGTACAACTGCATATTATAGCGATGTTCTTCCATGTTACCTAATGGGAGTCACTGTACTGCAACACTGTATCTAATCAATCTTCACACAAATCTCACATAATTGTGTTTGCTTGCACATTACTGTGTCACCCCTGACTCGACCAAAGGTACAAACTGGTTTGTATAACTTGGCAAATTCTGCTGTGTTTTGTGTGGAATAACTTAACTGTTTTGCACCTGACAACTGTAGACTCATAACATGACACAGATACATAACAAGCAAAGAAAAGAAAAAAAAGAAAACGAAAGAAAAAGTAAAAACGGACAGCAGTTCCAACATCTTTCAAGTCATCTTGCAGCAATACGTTATATATTTAGACATCCGAGTTCAGACTTTACCATCAGGATTTTCAGCCCACCTGCCACTACAGGAAAAAAGAAAAACACAACACAACAAATTACAACAATGTTTATCATTCACAATGATAAATAGCAATCATTGATATGAAATTATCCTCTAGAATAACCAATCACTTCAAAATACAGTCACATTTTAATTAGCTTCAAAACTATTATAAAAGTTCTTTTGCAAATGTCAAAGATTTTTCTAGTTTAATTTTTTTTAAAAAGCTGACTGGTAAAGTTCAGGCCAGAAAAAAGAACACAAACACAGACATGCTCGAAGTGGTGTTTAATGATTTCTAACCCATCTTATGGGTAACTACTAGGGGTGCAACGATACTCGTATCGATATTGAACCGTTCGATACAGTGCTTTCGGTTTGGTACGCATATGTATCGAACAATACAAAATTTTGAATTTATTTTATCAACTTTCCTTCTGACGATGCTGTCTGTGTTGAGCGCTCAGTGGATCTGCGCTCGACAGTGCAGCCTAGGCGGAGTAGTCGAATGCAGATTCACTGAGCGCAGGGCAAGCTAGCGAGACAGAAGTTAAGCTCTCCTTGCAACAGGCAAATTGAACCCCCCCCACCCTCATTCAGATGTGGCGTTTGGAACTATTTTGGTTTTCATGTGACGTATGACCCTGAAGGTAAGCGCGTCATGGACTAAAGTAAAACAGTATGTTGGATGTACCACGCAATGCTCAATTACATTGGTGGGAACTAGTGTGTTAGCGCAGTTAGCTCGTTAACGTGTTGACGCCGTCCAGCCCCATGCACGGGGCGATCCACGGTAGCTCGTTAACGGAGATTTGCCGTGTTGTGGCTTTAACGTCATTTCAACGAGATTAACGCTGACAGCGCTAGTGGGAACACAACGAATATGACTGCACATTTACTCCGACAGCATCCTAGTGCAAAGACAAGTGGAAGCAGACAAAAACAACAAGCACGCATGCTACAAACCCGAGTCATACCAGAGTCATTTAGACAGCCGTTAGCACATGATTCTCCTTATGGGGACCTGATATGTTTAATATGCTGCTGAGAATATAGCCCAGAAGAAGCGGATAGTATAGCTTTTATTTTGGAAAGAGCCATTTCTCTGTAATAAACTCTCTTTTCCAAAGATGAGTGATTCCTCAATCAGATATATATATTTTTTTATTACTTTGTTGTTTCAGCAACATTAAATTTAAAAACTGTACTTTTGAGTTAAAATATATATTTATAATTTTAATAAATGACAAATTAAAAAGGCATGAACTTTTTTTTTTGTATCGAAAAAATATCGAACCGTGACACCAAAGTATTGAACCGAACCGTGAATTTTGTGTATCGTTGCACCCCTAGTAACTACATGCTGTGCAGCTGTGTTCAGGTTTTGCGTTTCTGCTTTATTACTTGAAGTAAAACAATGGAAACTATGCTGGTGCTGAATGTTTCTGCAGACAGGCCGGAACATAAACACCCCTGTTATCTTCTTCACTGCTGTGGTTTGGATTGACATAAACTCCATGTCAACCCAAAGTTCATATTTCAAATTCCAAATAACTCCCTGCTGTGTTTCAGACATTTTGTGCATGAATTTACGTTAAAACAATAAAAATAAATAAAAACATTCTGCAGCCTAGTGTCCCCATTCCTTTTTACCCCTTATTGAAGTGTGAATATTTTTTATGATGTTACTTGAAGATAAAGTGCATAAGCACACAGTCTAAAGAACAAAAATATATGCCAATACATAATTCAGAACTGTGTTTGATAGTGTGTTGGTCCTGTTGTTATGTTGGCTTGGTTGTGCCACTTTGTGTTCGTAGCTTTTCTAGCCTTGTGTTTTCATATCTCAGTGTTGATTAAAAAGGGCAACTTGTTCTTTTTTTAATCATATGATGTTTCAATTATTAAAGATGCAAAAAAACCTTTTTTAATGAGTTAATGAATTCAATTTAATGTAGCCCTAAAAATAAGACATGCCATAAGGACTTTTACACCTGAGTTGATAAAATACAGGTATAGCTCATCTATAAGATTTATGATGCACTCAAGACAAACTTTTAAATGAGGTTCTGAAGGCAGGATGTCTCATTTTGTTGAAATATCTTTACTGAGGAGATGGGTCAAGGAGAGGTATCGAGCATGTGCAATCCTGTGTCTCTCAGTATAACCAAAGCGTTTTTTGATCACTTTGATTCCCTCTGAGTCATGAGTTTATGGCCCACCACTGCCACTATCTACAACAGATACTTCTGTTTTTAACCCGCTAAGTTTGAGGATAAACACACAACTGACCTTCAGCCCGCCACCACCACCTGACACAGAGGTGCTCATCGCTTGTTTCTCAGCTTCTTCCTGTTTTTTCCTTTTCCTTTCGACTGCTTCTGGATTTTTAACACCCCTGTACGCCGTCTGGAAAAAAGTGTGGGGTATAATCAAGTGCCAAGATGCAACAGCTTGATAATAAGTGTTTTGTTTTGTCTATATTTTCAGCATATACAAACAGTCTCAAAAGCATGCATGTGGGTTTTAATAAATTATTTTACCACAACCTTTCAGGTGCACACAAGGCTTGTTCAACCACAACCAGCGAGGGGGCATTCAACTGCCAAATAAGGCAGTTCAGCTGGAGGTTGAAGCAGCTACTTTCAGCAGTGCTGTGCTGCTCAACTGAGACGACTGTGGGTTGTTAGAGACCAGTGCTTTGACCTGCATCAGAGTGTGAACTGTCATGGTGTTGGAAGATTTAAGGATGAAAACGGTGACTGGGAGCACAAGGTTGTGGTAGTTAAGCCAATCCAGAAGACTCACCTGGCCAGGTAGAGTTTTTCACCCTGGTCCAGGTCTACTTACCTTGAGAGAACTCTAGTGCGTCTCTTTTTCAAGTGGGTTTTCTGTGCGATAAAAAATACTCACCACACTGTAAACTAACTCCACCTTTAATACTGCACTCAGTTACCAGATTACTGGGTACGTATGTGGCGCCAAAGACACAGTCCAATACATAAATACCGGTAAATAATACATTTTGTGAAGTTCAGTTTTTGGTGAAACTTTTGTTTGTTTGTTTTTTTACAGAGCTCACTTTAAGAATGGTGACTTTTATTCATATTTTAATTCTACTACCAAAAATGCACTTCTAGTGATGTTATAAAAAAGCTAAAACAAAAAACAACACAATTCAACTTCACTGCTGATTTCAATGAGTGATGGCAGAGTTCATGTTTGTACTTGTACTGAATAACACACCTCTGCTATAGCGAGCTGCACCCAGTAACCTGGTAAATGTACTACACACGTGTAACAATGTTTTAGTACTTGAAAAATGGACAATAAGACGCGACTCGTCGTAACTTACCTCTTTTTGTCTCTTTTCGGCGGCTTCAGCTAACTGTTGTCTCCGGGTCTCCTGTTGGAAACATGGGAAACTTGTGAGCTAAAGCTGTCCTCTCTGAGCTAAGCATGTTGGGCCTGAAGCATACTTATTAACATGCCGCTGTTCACATACAGTCAACGCCTCCTCTGCGTTACCTACCAGGGCCCATTGGTGTCCTAATGGTGATTAATCAAATTCACGTGGGCTCAGCTAATTCCTATATCAATTCGTACTCATTACTACTATACAGCTGACCGAATTATTGTTAAAGCTGTGTAATAACAATCATAGTAACTTAACTTACAGGATCTGGAGTGACCACAACGTCGTCCGCTGCTCCACCAAGGCACGGTAAGCACATCCCCATACTTCAGTTTTTAATTTAGGCAGTAAAAGGCAACGCTGAAAATTAGTTTTCTCTGTTTTCGTGGTGCCTAACTACAAAACTAACTAGATGGCAGGCCCGTTTATAATGCTGGGTGAGAGTTCAGGCAAATAAAATAGGAGCAGCAGCAGCTTCTATTCCCAACTACTACTACTGCTGTTGGGTCATCTGGCATAACGTTACCGTTAGCTACGGAACATTAGCATTCTAGCTAGCGGCTACCACTACAAGCCCAGCTGCGTCTCCAAGCCGCATGATAAATTACTCCTCCTCGCACCTCTTGTTTAATCGCCGCGACATTTGGAAAACAGCAGTGTGGAAGTCAGACGCCTCAGTCAAATGCTTTTTTTCCTCCTTTGAGTTTGTTTTGGTCCGAGATCAACTGGCTGACGCGTCAGCCAAAGTATGTTCACTAGCGATAGGTTAGTAAACACTCTTTTACTGTTCGCCTCCAATAAAAACAAGAGTAACCATACTGCAATACCACCATGAAAAACACAAAAAATTTACTACTGTTTTTAACAGTTGACAGTACAGTAAGTAGTTGTAGTCTTATTTAGTTTTTACTCTCTGAATAACAATTAGGTGTAGCGGGACTTTGAACATAACTAGCTGACAAGGGGCGGATACTTCGCTTGTAGATAGGTCAGCAGCACCGCCTTGTGGCGAAGAGTGGAACGAATCGAATGAGAAATACTTTATATTCTTTTGTTACAACGACAATAGTAATGATAATGATAATAATAATAATAAACCTAATAACTAATATTAACTAGCAGGTATATTTCTGCTAGATATATAAACTGTTTTATTCAAGTGATAGCAGGTGGGAGTGGAGTTGAATATGTTACAGAAAGTGCTCTGCTGCTTGTCCAGTAAGGGGTGCCGAGGGCAGTTGGGATTTTCCCTGATGGATAACAGACCTATTCTCCACCACGACAAAAGTGTCCAGTTTGCAGCCAGTCATAGACCCAACCTTCCTAATCGGTTTATGTAGTATGCTGGTGTCACCAGCTCCCCAGCAGACCACTGCAAAGTACACTGTGTTCACCACAGCTGAGTGACAGAAAATATCCATGATTTTGCTGCACACTTTGAAGAATCTCAGGAAATTAGATCTTGCTCATCCCCTTTTTGTGTATGGCATCTGTGCTGATCTTCCACTTCAGCCTGATGTAAATGTGGATGCGCATAATCAAAATAATAACAAAATATACGACAAAAGTTCTTTCAGATCTACAAACAAGCCTCGTTACTTAGCAGAAATTTTAAAATGTCTTCGGTCACTTATTTTGGTAGTTATTGTCAGTCAGAATGAGAATCAGAATACTTTATTAATCCCTGGGGAAAGTATGTAAATTAGTTATCTAACTTGTGAAATCCAATTGTCATCTGGGCATCTGCATGGAGTCCAGTGAAATCTGATAAAGGTTTACTGACTTACACTCAAAAAAGGTATTACAAGCTCTTGTTTCCCAATGGTAGTTATGCATTTAACATCATCTTTGCTCTTTTGAGAATTTTTATCACAGATTGTAATTCTCTCTGGTAACAAGTGTTTTTGCTGGATATACTCCCCTGTAATAAGATATTATAATACCAGGATATTATATCCTTTTATTCTCATTCCCACAAGGACTCTCGTGGTGTACACATAACTACCTTGCAAGCAGAATTCACCCCCTATAACCTGCACAGTAAATGTTGAAATGATCAGATCAACAAAAATGTAAACAAATGTTTAGGGTTCATTATTCCCTATAAATCTTGTTTTGAAGCAAAAATGAATTAACACAACAAAACGCTAAAAAGTTTTTATTTAAAAAAAAAAAAGACCCTTAAAGGGGTGGATAGATTCACAGTATGTTCTCTTAATACACTTACACTCTAACTTACACAATCTCCCGAGAAACCTTTGTGTGTGAAATGAGTAATGTTCCATAAAGCACTCAATATGCTACAGTCAATAGTCTGAGAGTTTAATGTTGTACCCCTCTTTGTCGGACCAAACCTCAAACTCCACCCATTCATCCCTGCTGCAGCGTCTGGGCTATTTCACAGCTTTAAGTGCTGCACTGTGGGACTGACAGGTCCATGAGGCTGCACAGCGTTTGCAGTTTGTGCAAGTTATCATTCAGAAACTTATTGATGGGGGAATTATACTGAAGGTGGAAGCAAATGCAATGGAAGTTAAGGCGTCACAAGCTCTAGGCACCTCCTCAGGTAGGTTCAGCTCACTTCTGAGCAGCTAGCTGTAAAACTAAAGGGCTTAATATTAGCTGACTTGATAGACTTGATATGATCTGTTATACAACGTTATCTTATTTCACCCAGCTTGCTTATTTAATGGCTTTGCCTTTGGTAACAAACCTATTTGCTGGCTATACTCTCGTGTATATGCTGTTCAATATTCAGCTGTTTTCCCGCTCTTTTTTGTGTGGAATAAACAAACGCTAATATTATGCAGTCATTCAATAACATTGCATGCTGTAGCAGTGCATGCTTTTCACAGTGCTTGCAACATGAGCATCTGATGAGAGCATGAATCTTTCATATGTATGAAACATGCTGGTAATGCTCCTGATGAACACTGATACTGGTGGGTTAATTTATTAATGAAGCATGATGTTAAATGAATAGCACTTGGAAGTGAAGTTTCATCATGGTCAATAATAATTTTCCTTGGAGAGGTGGGTGTTCTTCATGTCATTTTCTATAAGTTAGGAAGAGAGAAAGTGGCCCAGCTTGTGCTTGACTAGAACTGATGCGCCTTCTTGGAGCATGCTAACTTATCAGTGTCTGCACAGCACTCAGGAAAGCTCATTGTAATCTTGTACTGAAAACCTAAGTGGTAAGCCACAGACTGATAAAAGTAAAGAAACTTATTTTCTTTTTTTCCTAGCGAAATCCAACAAACATGTCTTGTGTCATTCAGTTCAATGAGGCGGCTAACTAACGCACGAGTGGAGTGGCTTTTATTAGCTGCTCTAAATCACCTCTGCCACAGGCAATCGGGGAAATGGTAAATGCTGTGGTTATCCCATCTGTGCTGAGTGGGCGATGTATGACCAGGGGACAGGCGCTCTTGAGGGGGAGGGCGCGGGGGCCAAATCGTGACGTGGTGGCGCGGCAGGAAGTGTCATGAAGTGGTCGCAAGTCATCAGGAGTTCAAAGCTGTGAGTGTATTCTGGTCCATTTGGGTCACTTCTCCCTGTGACTGCCTCACATGAAGCAGAGATGTCACAGAAACAGTTTCTGATAGCGAGCGACCCGGGACGTGACCAAGTAACTGTGCCCACGATGCTTATTTTGTAAATGTCAGGTTTTAAAATCCCAGTTAGTTCACGCTCCGAGAGTCGCTGCAAAATGTTATCTCTTGCTGAAAACAATGAACTGTAACGAAAACAATACTGCAGAATGACAGAGTGAAGCTGGATGACTTTAACCTGAAACTTCTGTATGAAAAACGAGGCCGTAGCTTAAAGTGACATGAGTGTTCAGGTGAATATGCAACTTTTTTTTCCTTTTTTGCTGACAATTTGTATTTTTTCAACTTTCCAGCACTGGACACCCGATTCCTTGCTGACTTTTGTAACATATGTCAATCAATTTATATAAAGAAAAACACAAAAATCAGGAACAAACTGATGACCCAGCATAGGCAGGTGTTTTCTGAAATCCTCTTCTTCTCTTTTTTTTTTTAAAGTAAGGATAATAAAGGCAACAGGAGGTTTCCCCTGTGCCCTCTTGTTACACTTGATTCTTTTTGTTCTTTTTGTTATAGTGTTGACAGGCCATGCATACAGACCTGCTGCTTCATAATGCATTTTTTAATAAATCTGAAGAAGGCCAGTATATTGTTCAGTCACTTTGGATTAGAGAAAGAAGCACGCATGTTACAGCCATTTATGTGGCCTAAAGTGATTCACACAGACTAATGTAAGCTGTCCAGGCTCATAACAGCTTGGAGTGGTCATCGTGTAATGCAAATACCACACAGTAAATTTCCCATACGCGGACATGCACCTCCCTTTAGCTTACATGTGTTAAAATGATAAACACTTAGGCCCTTTTTATTGAATTAACAGCAGGGGTAGATGTGCACCTGACTACACTTATCACGAAAAATTACATTATCAGCTGCTGACGTTGACAAGTTTTAGCTGGCTTGAGTGCGAGCACATTAAGCAGTTAAAAGTCCAGTATGTGTTTCTGGGATTTGTTGTGTTCGGTCATGCTTGTGAGTCCAGCCCTCAGGAAAGTTTGGCTGCCGTGTAAAACGGAAATAAAACAAAACACTTAAAAAAAAAATCCAAAATGAGCCAGACATTCAAATTGTTTTTTTGAACAGAGCTGTGAGCTTTTAATGGAGTCACTCTTTCCTCGACAGCTCATCGCAGATTCGCGTCTGTTTGAGACGGGGATTTAGTCAGCTTTGAAACGCACTTGTTTAAATAAATAATCAATCTTCCAGGAAGTTTGAGTAGGAAGTTCCCTGCTCATCAATCGATACCTAATGTCTCTATAGTTTTTGAAACCTTCAGGAGAACATACTGCTGCACTTAGCACGCACATCTTTAATGGACGCAAGCACATTTTGGCAATATGTTTCTCCCTACTAGTTTTCCAGAGCTTTGATGACCTGGATGTTGCACTTTCTTTGATCATCCCCTCAAAGTGTTATGATCTCGTTAATGGCAGAAAGTTTAACATTTGGCATTTCAGTCACAAACTGTACTCAACATGTCTGCTTACCAAAGTTTACTTTTCTTGTGGGCTTCATTAAAATGAGACATTAAATCTGTGAAGAGTCATTTCTGACATGAAAACTCTTAATGTTACTGAGTCATGTTGTTTGGACTGTGAGCTTCCTGTTGGTCTTAATGAGGCTAAATATACACATCTCCCTTCATTACACACACACACACACACACACACACACACACACACACACAGGATTGTTATTTTCCTTTTTACAATTAAAATGTGGTTAACCTTGGTGTGACCTGTTTAAGACTATGAATCGTAGCCTCCACATTAACTGATTACAGCAATTATTTCAGTTTAACTTGTTTAAATAGAATAAATAATAATAAACTGGTTAAATATAGTGTAATGTTTAAGAGGCCTTAAGCCGTTTCACCTTGTGTTCATTATTTCAATTCAACACATTCACACAAAGAAGAGCAAACACTGAGCATAAAGAATTCTAATCAATTAAATTGAGTTAAAAAAAAACAATTTTCATACACTAAAAAGTCACTTATTGTGCTTTTTCTTATCTACTGTATTCAGATATTCAGTATATACTTTCACTATAGTGAACTATGTTTTATTTACTGCTTCTAAAAGCCACATATTTTTTTTTAAAAATAGATAAAATAAAAAAATACAAATAAAGATAAATATTTTTTTGAAAGTACTCTAACTCTATGCAAGTCTTATTTTTTCTTTCTTTCTTTTTCTTTTTAAAAAGAGCAAATTTCTGTTAATATTAGATCTGCAAATTTTCTTTGTGTTCTCTCCCATTTTTCCCACTTTAAGGATGCTCAAATCAAACATGGTCAGAGTTTCAAAT